ATATTTGAGTAGAATGTGATAGTAGCTCTTAAATCCATTGTTAAGTGAATATTGGCTTTGGAAAGGCATAGATAACCACTCCTGCAGAGCACACCAGCACAGTGCCTTCAACATGGTGGGTTCTCTGCAAGTGTTGGTTGAATTAATGAGTAGACTCTAGTAGCTGTGAATCATCTTACGAATAAATCAGATAAGTTAAAGACTTCATTTAGTATTACAGATTTTTATGTTTAAACTTAGAATCTCAGTTCAGAATTTAAAACTAATTTTGAAAAACCAAAATGTTTACATGTTAAAAGGAAAAAAACTTTTTTAATGATATGTCAGAGAACCATGAAGGAAGTGTTCAGTTTTCGTTTCAATGAGTTTGCTGTTGAAATTATGAATTATTCAGGTTTCCCACAATATCCATTAAATACTTTCAGAGGTACAGAAACACTTTGAGGTCAGCTCTTTCCTCTTTAATATGGTAGCAGTAAAATAGCTAGATGTCTCTCCAGTGACAGAACCTGCTTGTCTTTCTCCTAAGGAGTAATTTTTTTAAATTGTAAAATTAATACAAACAGATGAAAAAAAGGGGAAAAGCAAAGAAAAAGTTCTCTTCGTTCCTCAGTCCCCTTTCCTAGAGTCATTACCTACTATAAGTTTTTCATGTGTTCATTCTAATGCTTCTTGAAAGAAATTAATATATTGGGAAACTTGCATTAATGAAAAGGTCATCTTTGAGAGTGCTGGTTTCTGGGAATCATGGGTAGTTTCCATGGCTAGAGCACAGAGTGGGAGGTGATGGCTGGAAGGAGATGAGGCTGGCAGGGTTCCTGCTGTTCTTAGAAGCTGTTTTGGAATTTTATGCATGATCAGATTGGGCTTTAGAGAGATCATCTCTGATGATGGTGGGAAGATGCAAGAGAACAGGCAAGACAGAGTCCAGTCAGGCGGCCCTGTTATTCTGGAGATCAACCTCAGGAATGCCAGCATTCTGACAGCAGGTCAGGTTGGTGTTGCAGCTTGTCCATCACCTGGACCAGTGCTTTTCAAACCTTAAATAAACTGCATGCAAGTCAGTTGGGAATCTTGTTCATGTGCAGATTCTGCATCAGCACGCCCGAAGTGGGGCATGAGATTCTGTATTTCCGACAGTCTCCAGGCAACGCTGATACTGTGGACCACAAGTAGCTGCAACATCTGTCCTTGGAAGAACTAGGACCAGCCACAGCCAGGGGATTAGGGCCTGGAATTCAGCCCAGAGGCCCAGGAGAGGAACCTGGTTATCAGCCTCAGGGCACAAGGTCAAAATGGAGTTAGCTGCAAGGCTGAGTGATGCTGGGCTACCCGGAGCTAGTGCTGTCAGTGCCCCGCTGCAGCCCCTGCCTGAAGTTGGGGAAAGCGGATGCTTAGTGGTTGGGTGGAAGCTAAGTGAGCCTTAGTTTAGAGGGCAGAGGGCCAGGATGGCAGGGAGACCTTGCTGAGCCACAAGCCCTTGACCAGTTCAGAGCATGGGCTTCTTAGTCTGACGCTGAGCTGTTAAACATTTCTGCTCTGAACTCTCCTTGTATGTGACCCAGTCAAGAAGTGGTGTCAGTTATGAGCAGGGCCACAGACCAATGACCTGGGGCTATAGGGAGACCCAGATGCAGGTTGAGGAAAAGGGAAAAGAAATGCTTCAGCAGGTGCCTATTAATTATTCTTTAATTATTTACAGGATATAACCTCAGACTCAAGCAAAACTGATTGTTCGTTGTGTTTAAAAAGATAGTAAAGCTGTATTTTCACAGTAAAGACAATTCTGAAAAATGCAAAAAATTTAAGAGAAGAAAAAATCAACCAGATCCTCACTCTCAAGTGTCTCCACATTTACTGATGTTTTGTTTTAGCCTTTAGTCTTTGTGAATAGGTTACATTTTTAAAATAATGATAATTTTTTATCAAAGCAAACAAAAACTTTAAACCTAGAGACTTCAGTAAAGAGGCCAGGCTTGTGTGTTTTGTTTGTTTCTTGTTGTTGTTGAACATTTAACAACTTTTGAACAGAATACACTTTTTAAGATCCAACAATGCCCTGGTTTCCTCACAGAAGCCCAGGCCTACCCCTGGGTGACGTAGGAAATGGCGGAAGACAGGAGCCATTTGCACTCCCGTCGGTTGGGCTGGGATGCAGAGGCAGGACTCCGTGACAGGGCACACTCAGAAATATTTGCCCTGAGCAAACATGAGCTGAAAAATCATGTTAATCCTATCTTCTGCTTTAAAAAAAAAAAAAAACTTAAAGAACAAATTACAAAGAATGTCTTAATTCTTTTTAAATAACATGGTTTTTTTTAACCTTTATAAATTTGAAATTTTGTACATGTTGAGTCACCATGGACATTTGGGTCCTATATTTAGGCAAGGCCTGTTGAATAGTCTGGTTAAAATTTTACACCCATCCAGAAGGCTTCTGTTTATTTTCCTATTCAAATTTCTGAGCAAACAGACACAGCTTACGTGTGTCTGTTTTGCACACGTTAGTTTCCTGTTGGATAACAGCTAGCCTTGCATAATGTGTGAATACTCAGTGACTAACACTGAAGAAGGAGTAATCGGAGAAGTAAGACCAGCAGGTTCCTGATCTTGAGGAGTAATCCTTAAATGGTGTACAATTGTAACATTCTTAAAATACTCCATACAGTCTTTATGCTGGCACATTCCTGAGTCATACCATCTCAGATGGTTGGGAATTGAAATCTTTGTAAGAGCCTCAAGAATTCAGCTTTGAGCTCTTCCTGCTGCAGATAGCCCTTAGAATTTCACATCACTGATTGAAATGTTGCCAGAGTAAATAAATACGTGAAAATGAGCTTCCGTCTTCGGTTTGCGTAGTATTCTCCAGCTCGAGTTAGTCTGTGGCATGCTCTTTTCTGCACTGTTTGAAAAGACAGCCGAGTATGCACGAGCAGACCATGCTATGAGAGTCTAAGTAAATAAGTGCTCTGAGAAGTTAACTAAAGAAAATCCCAGTCAGTTATGCAAGACAGATAAGTTCTATAGATCTGCTGTACATACAGCATCATGCCTGTTGTTCACAGTACTGTATTGTGCACCTAAAATTTTGTTAAGAGGATAGATCGCATGTTAAATTTTTTACCACAAAAGAAGAAAAGAAAATTCCAGTCTGAGGATTATTGCTTTATTAGGACCTAAAAGTGTCAAAGATGATTTGATGAGCATTTCTAATTATGAAAACAGCCCAATCATTAGCGTGCCCTTATGAACTAGTCTTACTTTGATTTTCAGTTATTGGATCTTTTCTGTGTCCGTTCTCTAATAGATTGGTGGCCTGTAGGGATTTACCTGCTACTAATCCCATGTATTTAGATTTGATGCTTGCATGCTTTCAGATAATTCTCTGAATGGAGATATTGTGTATATGTTCTTTGTTAATATAATTTTACTGAGAAACAATATCTGTGCTCTCCTTTAGCCTACATGAGTGTAGACAGTCAGAAATACCTACGTCTGCAGTTTGCTATATCCCACTGACCCTGGGTTTGAATAGTGGATGAAATGTCTAAACGAAGAATGGCGGTTGCAGCATTCAGTGCACACAAGAATCAGCTGGGAGGCTTTTAAAATTAGTGTCTAGGCCCCAGCCCCAGAAATTCTAGTTTTACTGGTCTGGGGATCAGACCTTTTCTGATGGTATTTTATAAAAGATCTCCAGGTAAATGTAATGCACAGCTAGATGTGAGAGCTGCTGGCCTAGAGTGAATTTTCTTGATCTGAGTTCCCTTGGCTTCCAAGGGGTTCTTCTACTCCTGATATTTTTGTACAGACCTTAATGTCTGTGTGTGCGTGGCAGATTTTCTGGAGCAGTGATCCGAAGAATTTATCAGACTGTGAAAAGAGTACGTGACTTAAAGTTAAAAATCATTAGTTGAGGAAGAGGAAAACAAAAAGCACAGATGTGTTCTAGACTGCACCCCTTGGGGAATTTAGGGAGGAAGGAGAGCTGACAGTGAAGTCAGTAAAGAACGATTAAGGTGGGGGGAGCAGTGGTGTGCGGGGGCCCCCTGGCACCCGCGTGTGATAGCCGATGGTATTTATCTCTTCCCAGGTCTGTGTTCTGTGTTGTCATATTGGTAGCTTGAATTTAGCCATGGTGGGAGTATTTACCCTACAGAATAGCAAATGCCTCACGTCAGGGCTCTCCTTCCCCCTCCTTCTCCCCATGCACCCTGGTAAACACAAAGGGCAGGTAAAGTGAAGCTTCAAGATAGGCAGGAGTGCCAAGCATTGCAGGGCTCAGCTGTCAGGAGGCCTGAGAGCAACTGGACCCTCTGACTCTTCAGATGAGCTTGGATCTCATTGGTACAGGCTGGCTGCAATTGCCTGATCTCATTGGTTCAGTAAAGGTTTATTATGTGCCCTCCCTACTCCCAATATCCATGAAGGTATCTGGCAAAGTTCTGGGTACCTGAAGGGAAGCATCAGAAGAGAGAGAATGAGAGCAGGAAGAACAGGATCTCAAGGTATCCAGAGAGGTGAAGTGATTTGGGTGAATTCACAGCAGGAATTAGTGGCAGAGAGAGAACTAGAACCTGAGTCTCCCAGCTGTGCCCACCCACTCTACACCTATTTGAGGAATATATTTAGGAGGTAGGACTTCCTGTAAGACATGGGATGGGTGGGGGCAGTCTCCCAAAATACACTTTTGGAAACTGATCAGCATTGATGCTGAGATATATTTGATGGGGAAAAGGCCTCTAGGGAGCAGGGAGGCTGGATAGGAGGCTGCTGTCAGGAGTGTTTGGGAAAAGGGGAACTTCTGCTGACCCTGGAACAGAAGTTTCATAAGACACAGAGGAAAGAGGGGCTGACAGAATTGAAGTGAGCCTAGAAAGCTTGAAAGTGGTTTGGGGTCAAAATACAAAAGGTGGGACCAGATGGGGTGATTTTGTTCCAATACCATGGTTGTGTAGTTCATCGGAAAATTATTTAGCTCCCTTCTTCAGGTGGGTTCTGTAGAGTTGGCTATGGAACATCCTAATCTGACCCCGACAGTGCATGAGACCTTCTGAATGCCTTCTCTTCCTCTGCCTGGTGTAGCCACTGCTCTCCATGATGAGTACAGTTTAATCCAACCTTAGAAAAGACCACATCTGCCCCTTACTCAGGGCGAGTAAAGAGTTTGGGTGTTGGAACACTTGTGATGGTAACTCCTATCCTAGCCATTGCTGTTACCGCTAGCTGACTACCTGCTGTAAAGAGGTGGCAGCTGTTCAGGAAGACTCTAGGTTTTGAGAAATAATTTAGATGAGGACAAACTTTTTTTAAAACCTGAGAACTGTTTAAATGTTTTAATGTAATTACATGGACATATGTTTGGTAAATAAAAATTAAAAGAAAATACTAAAAAAGAGGGAACGTTGATACCTAGTAAGAGATTTATTTTTGTTACTTCCTGCTTTAACAGAAAAATCCAATATATGTTACTTTGTTTACAGGTGCCTTCCAGTGGGAAGAATTGGAAGAAGATGTCAGGAAGAAGGTGAAAGATTCTGGGGATGTTTCAAATGTAATTGAGAAAGTTAAATGCATTTTAAAAACACCAGGAAAGGTAAATTAGTTTATTATAAGTTATTTCACTTTGACTTTCTCTGAGTTATAACTGATACACTATGATATACCGTGATGAATATAATATTGAGTCATAAGTCAGTAATATCATATGTTCTCCTTAAGTATATTTTTGCCATTTAAATATTTTAAACATAAAATATACATGTTATTTCTTGCTGTCTCTGATTTTAATTCATGTAAGAATGAAAGTATATGTGAGTCATGTCTTTAAAATGTTGGTTTGTGAATTCCATCCTCTGAGACATTCCCTTGGGGCTCTGGGAATGTGCAGTCTGTGTCAAGAATGAAGGGCTGTTGATCTGTCCAGTTACAGTTAAGGTTGTTGGATGGATGCTTTCTCACTGCTCACAGTGTCAGTCCAAACAGTTTTCAGGAGTAAAGCAGTTTCTGTGTGTGCCTTTTTCAAGAGTTCTGAGACATCTGTGTAGCCAAATGGACAGTTAAGGACTTGTTTCTCGTCTACTATAGGTTCAAAATTATACATTAGGTTCAAACACCATAAAAATACAGACTTTGTATATGGTCATAAACTTGTGCACCTTAAAACTCTAGTAACTTAGATTGTGTAGAGTCTGTAAGGGCCTTGAAAGTAAATTTGTTAACTTTTAAGATGACTACATTATACAATTTAGCCAGTGTATTCTTATTTCAGGTTCTGTGATAAACAAATTGGTTACAGTAGATAAAAAGGTAAGTTGTGAGCAATGCTTAGCAAAGTATAGGTTTAGGTTAAGTTTTTAAAAATGATTATTTCTTTAATTTTTAATACAGTTGACTGTCAATTCTACAACCTAAGTTATTGACAAGTAAAGTTAATATTTTAAAATTGTACTAACTTTTATAAAGATTCCTGACTATTCTTTAATTGAGAAAATGATCTCTCTTTTTTTTTAAACAAAAGTAACAGAATTAAGGGGCAAGACCTTTCTTTTCTTGTTTTAATAACACATTGAAACAGGTATACAGAAGATGTCCAGTTGTACAGGTGTATGGCAGGGTGGTAGCTGTTTTACAATCTAATTCAGCTAAATAATTCTTTTGTAGAAATGTACACATAAACTTGCATTCTGTTTTTCAAAAGTTCTCTAGATTAACTTGCTCATAGACCAGTGAAAATGTATATTTCTAATCTCTCCAAACTTCTGCCCTCCCATTTTTTTCTAATTCAAGGCATAGGTGACAAGGAAATCTGTTAATACAGATTCATAATTTGAATATATATATATATACATACATAAAATATATCTATATAGTATTTCTGAGGTACAGATTCATAACCTTTTTATGAATGGTTAAGACAGAAATGTTGTCTTTTTTTCTAAACCTGCAAGTTTCCTTGGGTCTGATTCTGAACACAGTCATTCCTTTGAGTACCAAGAATAAAACAAATTCTTCTTGCGGGAGGGAAAGCTGGGGACTATATGATTCCATGAAATTAAAGTAAATTCCTTCCTTTGCATGGGAAGACAGGAGAGTTCTGTGCTTTCTTCCTGTGTTTTCCTAGGGTAAGAGTCTCTCTCCTTCATTGAGGACAACACAGAGAGATAACAATGAATTGGGAATCAGGAAATGTACATTTAAATTGTGAGTCAGCCAAGAATTGCCTGTGGCTTTGACGAAGTTTTCTCAGGGCTTTCTGTAAAATAAGGGATATACCAGATGATTTGTAAAGTCCTGCCAGCTCTCAGGTTCCGGTGATGCTTTCTGACTGCTTTGTGGCATTCCTCTCCACGAGTTCCTTCGATGTGTATTAATATAATCCTATACTGTATATAGGATTTGAGAGTATACCTTGTAGGAGCAGGTTTTGTATGATCCTGTTTAGGTTGTCTGTTTTGCTCATGGATGTCATCCTGGAGCATATGTTCTTCTTTTTTGGGAAGGAAAGATAATATTTTTTTTTCTTTCTCACCAGACATGTTGAGTTCCCACCATAAGAGATTAATCCAGACTAGAAAGTTGGTGCCATTTATTCTTATTGCTGAAGTTGTACGCTTAACTATTTCTTAGGAATAAAGCTTTCTGAATTCCCTCCCTAGCCAAGCAGAGGGTCAGAGCTCTGACCTGGGCTGAGGTTCTGAGATTCAGCAGGGGAAATGGGTGAAGGGAAAAGGGGCTGGCCCTTGGTTTCTGGAACTGGCGCAAAGGAATGTCTGAAGGATCGGAGAAAGGATAAGCAAAGCACTAACTCCTGAGTGGGGAGCAGAGGAAGGCTGGAGACCCCCAGGTCAGACAGAGGCACTGTTACTGGAGGCCGCCAGTTAGCAGTTGTGAGAGGACAGATAGATGTAGTCATGGAGCCTCCGGGGCTCCAGATCAGGGATCCAGACAACCTTTGATAGATTCCTGCAGCCCCAGCTGTGAACAGGAAAGATATTTAGGATTATACGGTTGTAGATTAAGATGGAGATGAATTAGTTCATTACTCTCAGGTATTTTAATGTTGATCTAGTAAAGCAATAGGACATTGTGTGGTAGGGGAAAATATGTACTTTTTCTTAATTACAAAATAAATTTTTGTGTATATACTTTCTTCATTAGTGAACAAACAAGCAGGTTGTATATGCAAACATATTTTACTAGGTGTTCATATGAGGTTGGGCTACAGTTGTCTGTTTCCCAGGTAACAAAGGCCCCCTGGAATTCAGGACCCCACAGCTTCTCAGATGTAGAGCTGAGTTTCCACTTAACCAGTTCCTTCACTGCTGTGAGTCCTGGGTAGCACAGTGTTGCTCACTGAGAGGTCGCAGATGTAGTTCTTGAGGGTAAGTTTCCATGAAAGCTGTGATCAGAGATGCCGTAGAGTAGGTAATCATTATTTCTTTAGACATTAGCACAGTTTTCCAAGTTTTCTAGTCAAACTATCAAAGCATATTGTATAACACTTCCCCTTGTATTTTGTTTTTCCTTATAGTTTAATTGCCTAAGGAACTGCAAAACCTATCAAGCCAGAAAACCTCTGTGGTTCTATAACACTTCCCTCAAGTTCTTCCTTAATAAACCAATGCTTGCTGATGTTGTCTTCGAAATACAAGGTATGGTTCAATTTTTACACAGTTCATCATTCACTTTTTTTTCAAATTCTTTCTAAAAAATTTTTTTTATTTAATGGAGGTACTGTGGATTGAACCTAGGACATACCACTGAGCTATATTCACCCCCTTCATCATTCACTTTTATTTCTTGTTTTCTTACCTAACTTTCTATTTCAGCTTTGAATATTTTGGGTGAAGGAATGACTATTCTTTATTGTAGGATGTAGATTAACACTGCTTGAGTTTCTACAAAAATTTTCTAGGGAAGTAAAATATTTTATTAAAATAAGCAAAGAAATGTATATTTTCCTTCGTTTTTTTTTTCCCCTTACCCAGTGCTTAATTAGCTTTTAGGAACTAGCAAGGGGTGAGGTGATCTGTAATATCACCCCATTGTATATTTTCATGTATTTCTTTAAGATCCTAGTTTTTAAATCAAATGAAATCAGCCCCCTATTACCTTTAGTTTATTTTTGCAGCTCTCTTCCTTTCTAACTGAGCACAAGGAACTACTCTGGTTGAGGGTCATGCCTGGCTCACATCAGGCCTCCATGGATATTGCTACATTTACTCCTCACAGCACTCTGAGAATTATCACCAGCGCAGCTGAGAGCTGCTTTTTATCTCTGTGGGAAAGTAGTGCTACCTAATTTTAATAAAGATGAGCTGTTTTCATGCCCATTATTGATTATTTGCTTGGATAATTTTGTCACTTTGATAGATTGAAAGCATAATCTTAAAAATGAATTGTTAGATACCTTCAATTGTGCAGGAAGGCTAGAAGGAGCTGTTTCAGATGAATTAAGTGGAGTTTCAGGTGGGCTGTTACTGAAAGGAAGATAATAATTTAATTTTATGGTGGAAATGTATGGTAGTTAACAGTCATTTACTTTTTAAAAAATTTCCCCACAAGGATTTGTTTTACTTTTAACTTTGATCACTTGCCAAGATAAACAGTGAATTGGAAATTTTCCAGGATGCCTTTGGATAGGCTACTGTCAGTAGCTGCATTGTGAGTGTGGGCCACTGAGAATAGGATAGTGAGTGAGCTTGAAATTATGTAAAAAATGACTTGGAAAAAGAAAGCTCACAAGAGACCAAATTTGCTTATAATTTGCATGGAAAGCACCAACACCAAATGTTATGTTAACATAACCTACTGAAAAGATTTTCAAAGGGAATATGTAACATGTGAAAATATGTTATATTAAGGGAAAAAAAACATGCAGTGGTGTGGAGACTCCTACCTCACAGTCTCTTGCTTTTCTTCCGTGATTCCACCTACTGACCCTTTGCAGGCGCCTGCTTACAGTCCCCGCCTTTACAGAGGCTGGATGTACAAGGGCTCTTTGTATGCCTGTGCTGATGCCACAGATCTAGCTTTGGCTTTGCATTCCAACCAGTGTGTGTCCTTGGTCAAGTCCAGAAGATTTCTGGCCTTGAGTCTTCTCATTTGCGAAGTGAAGAAAGTGAACCGTGTAGATTCTAAAAGGTCCTTTTTCGTATTAAGTTTGATGAGATGGTAGCGAAAGACCTGGCTGGGATCTTGTTGGGATACGTATTTACTGTATAATAGGTTTGGCTGTGTCATGTTACATCCTGATCCTTTGTTTCCTCACCTATGAAAGGGCAATACTTGTTTCTACCTGGGAGAGTGGTCATGGCGATGGAGATGCTGCATATGAAGGTGTATATAGAGGCCTGATGGGCAGATTCCCTTCCCCTCCCCCTACAATGGCAGCCAACACTGGTGGATCACTGCACCTTTTCCTGCTGAACCCAGAGCCACAGCAAATTCTTTTTTTAAAATGTTCCAGGCATCACCAACAGCTGGCTGGAGTTGCCATGGGATATAAAACCTATTTACTACCCTTGAAATGAATAGTCATCAAATATACACTTATGCAGATACATATATATATTTTTTACTACCACCACCAATTTGTTGTTTGGGTTTGTATCTTTTTCCATTAAGTAATCTAAAAAAAAAAATAGCAGTTCTAAAACTAGTCTTGGTAAACTTTTGGATCTGATATAGAAAGATATGTTTCCTTTTGACATTTGAATCTGTGCCTTGTGAAAAACACTTTTACAGAATTACATTCTGTCCTGTTCACTTAGATAGTACATATTCTAGATCTCTCTCGAGCTAGGCAAGTTTCCTGTTTTCAGAATAAAACAAAATAATTCTAAGAATTTCATTTTTTAAACTTGACAAGTAATGTGAAGAAGGTATGACAAATTTTATTTTAGTATATAACAAAAATAAAGACCTTTGATAATCAATGCAAAGTTACTAGAAAACTTGCGCTTTTGAATTTTATTTCACTCTTAAAATATTTTTCCTTAAAAAAAATTCTTTAAAAACTGTAACAGCAATTAAATACTACAAAGGAACGTTACTGTAGGCCTTAACATTTCCAAAGGACATGTTTATCTTTTAACTAGAAAGTTGCTCTTTTCCCCCCAGTAAATCCTCAGTTCTTTCCTATTGTTATTGAGTTCGTAATCACTGCATTATTTCCATTCAGCATGTTTTATATACTGCTTATACATTTATACAATTTATATACAGTGTTTTAAAATGTAATTATGCTGAGATATTTTTATTACAGTCTCACAGTAGAACAATTTATAACACCAAAATAGTAGTTTGAAAAGGTAAGAAACAGAAATTGTTGTTTTTTTGACTGGAGGTATAATTGTTTTTCAGACTAAATTCCAAGCTTGAAATGGGCTTTGAAAATGCTTTATGGTACTGAGCATTTTGCTGCTGGTTTTGTAACTCTTCTAACCACATTATCAATGGAAAATTTCTCTTAAAATTTCAAGGTTACTTATAAATTTCTTCCCCATCTACTACTATCTACTAGATATTTTTGGCCAATTTTAACCCAAATGATACGTTATCTGGTTTGTTTTAGCAATACTTTTTATTTCCTTTTTCTTTTTCTCATAGTTCCCTGTATGAGATTTTAAAACCTTAAAATTACAAGGCAGAATGCAACCTGTTTAAATTCTTTGTTAATTGCTGTATACAGATATATCCAGCATGCTTTGGTTATGGAAACTGGTTGTCTCTCAGCGATGGACACTGTAACACTGAGGATAGGCAACCTAAAGGCAGAGGGAAAGCTGCCTGCTAGGAGGTGTGCAGCTTCTCCCTGCTCCTATAGGAGGTGCGCCTGTGCAGATGACAGTGCCAAGCAGTGAGCTCAGAACTGGCACTGTCGGATGTTGCTTATGGATCCTGAGGGACTTACTGGTTTTGGAGAAAGTCACTGGGCTTACATAGAACTTTTTTCTTCTTTTCTGAGCTGGAAGATGTTTTGATTGGATTTAAAGAGGGTGAAGAACCCAATAATTGTAAATATTTTAGAGGACATATGCACCTGAGAAGTACAAGATTTTAGGGATGCACACTTGGGCAGAGCAGAGTGGTCTGGCTCATAGAGTTACTTTCTGAAAGGAGGCAGTTTTGTCACTCATACTGGCTGTGATGTCTTCTTCCAAATAAAAAGCTTGGCTGCTCCAAAGCAGGGTAGCTCCATCTTTGTTATCTTTGTACCTTCAGTACCAAACATAGTGACTGGCAAGTGGTGGATGCTTGATGATGGTGTTGATCTAATCTAGACTGAACTGAAGGTGGCTGTGGCTTCGTGGTTTCCTGAGGGGGTGGGTGTGGAGAGAACTGTTTCTCTGCCCTGAGTCCCAGGCCCACGTGTGTCCCATCTGGCACTGCCTTGGTGGGTGGCGCAGTAGCTGGAGAGCTTAGCAAGTTTTCACTAGAGAGTCAGTTTAGTTGAATGAGTTTCAGTGAGGGGTATAGACTGAGGGATCTTTAAAATTTAAAGCAGCTCTGGCTCTCCCAAGAAGCAGGCATTGTTCATTTAGGAAAGAGGCTCCCTGAGGCAGTAGTATGATGGGGAGAAAGCAGGGGACTAGGTTATCCCCTTCCAAATTTCCCATAAAGTCTGAAATGTTCCTCTTGGCCCCATAAGAGATTCCCTTGCCATTTCTGCTGTTATGTATGAACTGCTTAGCCTAAGGATGATTTACTTCCTGCATTTTCCTGTTTCTAATAAAGGAAAGTGCATTTGGCTAAGAAGAGTAATGGCTGTGTTTTCTTGAGAGGCACGTGGACAGGGGTGGATGGTGGTATTTCAAGCCAGTTGGAAAGAATAGATGTTTCATTATAAAAACATGAAGCAGAATATTTCATTTCAGTGTTTCTGTATTCAGGAAATAAAAAACTAAGGGAAAAAAAAACTAAGGAAAAAATAGTTTCCTGACTTGTAAAGTGTTGGTTTTACAGTCTACTTTTGAACTCTC